GATTCTCTTAAGTTCAGTTCTTTAATAGTGGGAGCACTGTGTTGGGAAGGGGATGCCCTTTTGGGGAACTTCTTTACCTGACATGAAAGATACTCAGACTTACATATTTCTTGTACCAAGAAGGTTGGTGTTTATTGCTGTTTCTTTGGGATTCATCGAAATGAGAACCAGACTGATTGGTGGTAAGTATCATGAAAAGATATTGCACTTGGTTAGGCTGGCTGGAGACCCCTTTCCTTTCCTCTTAAAAGGGAGTAGGTGAAAGTAGAATCTATAAAAGAATAAATTAGCAGAAAGATGTATGAAAAGGGAACTTGAAAAGGTGGAAGGTGTTGTAGCATGTTGCTTAGGAATTGACCTTGTTAAAATCTCTAGCTTCTGATAGTCACTTTTTTGCTCAATGCTAAAGTGTTAGCTAAGAAATATGCTGACCATAATTTCTAAACAGGAAAAAGTCTCTGAGCATAGAATCCTAGAGGGGACAATGGAACAGAATATATGAATTTAGAAGTGTCCCAGAAAACTGATAGTGTACCAGAAGAGGAATACTAGTCCTTCAAATTATCCTCAGCAGTAAGAAAGACTGATCCATGCATGTTTAAGGTATGCTTTCTTAATGATTTGTTTCCTAGTAATTGRTGTTTACCTTAGAGTCTAGTTCTTCACCCTTAGGAGGAAACCCTTTTGAGAAAGCTAAAAGCTTTTGATAAGCATGTGAAATAACAAGTTTAATAAGATGTCTGGCCTAACCTAATTTTTGGAGGCTTAAGTTACTATCCAGATAAGACAGTGACGACTACAGTATCCAGCATGTTCCTAAAGGAGCAGTGAAATTCCATGGCAAAGCCATTTGCATTATCATTACACTTTGAGTCAAAACACATCTACAGATTTTTAAGGGACCATATTTCCTTGAATAAATCTTTCCTAAAGTGCATTGTGTACTTAGTGTACTTTAGTCAACAAATGTGATGACTAAAATATAATGTACCATGGGTATTACCGTGATCAGCATTCCTTAGCCATAGAGTCCACATGGTTAACCACATGTGGTAGTTTTTAATTGTCTGAATCAAGAGAGAGAAGGCAAAATTGGATAGGACCTGGGAAGGAGGGAGGCTGAGCTGTTAACATTTGAGTATTTAGGATATGTGTTTGTGAAAATACACTCAGAATTTCTGATGGGAAAACAAATATTAATTAATGTCAACTAAGCAAGTAATATACAACAGTTGTTTTTCTCTTGAGGTTTATAACTTTTTTAGATTTCCTGTGATTCCTTTGATTTGGTAAGTTCTATATAACAATTCTTTAGGCTCACCTGTCAGCAGGCTTACCACTAGATGGTGGATTTAAAGTACCCCAAATTATTTCTTCAGTAGAGCTTTTCTTTAACATTCTCAGTATGACATAGAAGAAAGTCAACCACCATACCTGCTAAGCTATTTGAAGAGGTACTTTAAAATAGCACATTAAACTGGCCTGATATTTAATTGGGTTTTTAAGACACAGCAAGTAGACTTCTGTATTTGGATGTGCTATTTGAAGAATGAGTCAATCTGACCTTCTAGCCTTTCTCAGATGTGTTACTAGTTCTAGAGTGGAACGCTAGTGTGCTTGTTCAGTTGTAAGCTGGATGGTGAGCAACTACACACACAATAATATTTAACAGACATTTTTACTTCAAGGTACTTTTTGACACTTTATCTACTTTTCCTCTTCTTCCCCGTGCTGTTATATTTAGGTCTAGTATTTCTTACAGATATAGATTTGAAGAAACTCTAAAGCACAACTTTAAGACAATGTGTGGAAGAAATCATGGTGATAGGAAGTAATATAAACAGCACAACTTTGCAGGCATCGTTTGGTTTTCTTTTCCGAAACCATATTTGACTTAAATGCAGTCAAATTGAGTCCAACTCAATCAGTGGTCTATTCTTGAGGTCTCATTTCAGTGGAGAGGAAACTGACATCCAAAAGTTGCTTTGGGCAGCAGGGTCTTCATTTACAATGTAAAGGTGAAGAACACTCTAGAACGCTCTTCTCTTAGGGGAAAACAGAGCTGCTAGCTGGGAAGGCAACTGGTGCAGCTAGGAGGCCTGGAGGAAACTGGCAGAGCAGACACTCAGCAGCATCAGCTGGGATATGGGCTGTGTGCAGTGTGTAGTTGGGCTGAGAGAGAGACAAGGTTATCATGAACCTGTGTGTTGCTGGGACGTAAGAGCTGCAGGAATAGACAGCCACCCATCTACATCAGAGCCTGGGTTCATGTTCTGCCCTCTTCAGATATGGACCATATCATTACTTGAGAGGTGGGGTGGCAGGAGCATCACTGCTTGCCACAGTCTAATATTTTATTTTTATTTTATTTTTTTTTTTAAAGAGAGTGAGAGAAGGTGAGAGAGGGGGAGAGAGAGAGAACTTTAATATTTATTTTTTAGTTATTGGCAGACACAACATCTTTGTTTTGTATGTGGTGCTGAGGATCGAACCCGGGCCGCACGCATGCCAGGCGAGCGCGCTACCRCTTGAGCCACATCCCCAGCCCAACAGTCTAATATTTTAGAGGGGAGGATTTTGCTAAGCTTTAGGCTGCTGATGAGCTTATTAATGCAAGGGGAGATTAGGAGTATCGATTCAATTCTTAAGTTGCTGAAGAGACATTTCTAACTTGCCACATRCACTTCTTTTATTTTTTTTTTATCTAAAAATCTGCAAATGTTATTGCACTTCCCTCCCCTACCCTTACCCCCCACATAGGTAGTGTCTGGGAACATGCCCAGAACCTTTTGTAAAAAAAAAAATGAACAAGAGAGGGAATCATAACAGCCGGAGAGGAGAGAGCTTCCAAACGACTGCCCATGCCAACAGCAGGGAGACTGGTGGAGGAAGGGCTGCCTCTGTAGGCTGTTAAGAGGCACTGGTGGTCTCTCCACTGTGTATTTTTTCCACTACCAAAATAACTTCATACTGGATTGAAAGTCATTACCTTAGTGTTGGATTAATCTCTTCAGTCAAACTAGCTTTGCCAACTGCAGAAGTCATATGAATGTGCAGTAGACAATCCTGTCTAGAAGGGCAAATGCTAACCTGTGGCCCTCTAGATGAGGTTTTTCTTGTTTGATTGGTCGGTTGGGGTTTTTTCTTTTTCTTTGAAAAACTATTGTGCTTTTGACATTTAAGGTATTTAAAATTAAAGTTTTAGCACCTAAACTAAAAATTCTGCTTTGGATAGACAAAGATACTTGTTAATCATGTTCTGGTAAAGTATGTGGTTCATCTTGAGTCTCTGTGGTTATCATTTATCTTTGAGACTCAATTGGCCTTATATAAGAAAGGATTTTGAAATGTTTACTCATTATACAGAAATTTTCTGAATGGTTTCTTACATGTATAAGACCCTGAGCTGAATACCACAATATGTAGCTTTACCCTGCTCCGTGTCATAGAATCTGTCTTTAGACTTAATAAAACAGGCTGCAGACTTTGCCCCCTTGGTGTTTCACATGGTTGCCTAAGGGGAAAGCTTGCCCAGTTAGATATTGAGCAAGATAAGCTTTAATTAAAAATACACTGAGGTTTTTCTTGCTGGCCTGTTGTCCAACTGCATTCTCTCCTTTCATTGTTCATGTGAATCATTGATGATAGAAAGTTGAAAGCATGAGCCTGTATTCCTCTGATTTCTATGTTATGACCTGTGGAGTCTCAACAATTCACTTTTCAATTTGTTCATAATGGCTGCCTGCACCTAGGCTGCACATTTAAGCTTGAGTCTTACACTAGAGGTTGATGCTCCTCCAGCTGCAGGAGGGCAAGGTCATACAACTGTAACTGAAGAATAGTTAGTTTACTGTTCCTGTCTCAAAAGTGGCTGTAACCATGTTGCTTGCATTATGCAGCGAAGATTTTAATTGGAAATGGTGGGTGTACATGTACAGGAATGTTTGCTAAAGACATTCTTAGTGTCTTAGTGTCCCATGGCTTAGTGGATTCTCCATGGGAACTTTTTTTAAAAGAGTTACATTGTTAGGAGAATCTTAATTCAGTTTCTCAAACCATTCTGTTATTTCAGAAAAGTGAAGTTTGGGAGTTTTCTTTTTCTTTTTCTTTTTCTTTTTTTTTTCTTTTTTAGATTTTGAAGAAAGGGTTCCTCAAAGTTTAAACAGGAATTCATGGGGAATGTTTAAATCACATGATATAAGTTAGTATTTTCAAATATTTTAGAAACATCCATTAATTTGTGTATAAATTATAGTTAACTGCAAGCTATTTATTAAAGCCAGTCTTCCAAATATCCTTCAAATAGTCATCTAATTCTGRTTTATTTAAGGAAACTTTTAATAGTTTGCCAAGTCATTATTCTCTCCTTAAATTAATCTCTCTTTCATTGGTATATTCTGATATTTTAAATTTTTACAGTTTATAGAAGGTTCTGGGGATACTACATTAACTTTATGATATATAGACACATGATTGGGTTCTGAGTATTGGCAATCTAATGCCAATCACCGTTTCTAGGCATCTTTTCATAATTCTTCAAAAAGCAAGACCACAGCCAACTTCACATTAATAATATGCTACAAGAGAATATTCTGGTGAAAAAAAGAAACAGAAGTACTATGAGATCTGTCTTCTGATAGAGTTGTGAGGGAGGGTAAAAAGTTAATGTGTCAAGGTTATAAGAGGAAAGAAAATAAAATGGAGAGAGATGGATAAAATTGGGCAAATGCTAAAGAAAGTTGGCCCATAAGCTTTTCCCCTAACCCCAAATTTTGTTGAAACATTTGGGGAGGAGCAGTAATTAGCATTTTGGGAGAAATCAGAGAGCAGCCTCAGCTGCTCAGAATTAGATGACTATTTGAAGGATACTTGGAAGACTGGGAGAGTTTATTAGGAACCATGTGGTAACATTGACTTTTAGGGAAGATAATATATGGCCTTAGAATTCTGAGGTACAGAGATATGTAGAATTTCCTCAACATTTTTGCTTTCTCTTTCAGCAAATCCAGTTTGCTGATGACATGCAGGAATTCACCAAATTCCCTACAAAGACTGGCCGAAGATCWTTGTCTCGCTCCATCTCACAGTCCTCCACTGACAGCTACAGTTCAGGTAGGTGTGAACTTCATGTTCACTCTGATCTCTTCCCTGTTCTCTACCCAGTGCTCTTCACTTAACTAGAATCTGAAAACATACTTTATACCAAGACTTCCTGTCAACTGTTAATTAGTAATTAGGCAATGGGAATGTGCCCAGCCAAGCTTGTAGCTAGGGAAGCTTTTGTCATCTTGAGATTTTCTTCCCCTGGCTGTCTCTGTGTGTGGTCTGTGGCCAGTGCCTGGTTGGTAGTACTGGGCCAATTTTGATTCCCACATTTGTCCACCCACATTGCAAAGAGAGGGAATCAATGTTATTTTGGCTGACAGAATTGGCCTTGAAAAGAACTATTTGGAAGAATAACTTCTTTGTATAAAATACACACTGTCACTTATCTCTTTCTTTCTTATCCAAGACTGTTTAAATTGTAATGATGACAATTAGTATTTCTGCTCTTTTCATTAACTAGATTGCCTTATGTTGAAGTATACTTCCCTGATAACCTCTGGAGTGGGAAAAATACAGACTACTATACAGTGATTACAGCTGTTTCTTTTCAGTTCTCTCCTCTAATCTTAGCCATCTAAGTCTGTTTCTACTGAATCATGCCCTTGCCAACTCTAGACAGGGTGTTGAGAAGRGAATGGAAGAGAAGATCAGATCTTACAAATTGAGTTCTAAAAGAAACATTAGTGACATCTAATATAACCTCTTCATTGTTCAGCTGAAGAATCATTGTTAAAAGATTAAGAGGCTTGTCCAAGGTCACCAGTTGCTGTTAATGTCAACAAAGAGATTAGTACCAAAAGCCATTCATTGTCCTTTGCCAAAATATTGTTTGCATTGTGTTRCTAACATTAAGAGCTAGGCTTAAGGTATAAGGAATGTTTTTAAGAAAAGAAAAACAAACAATTATAAATAAATTTATAAATAGCTTTTATATGAAGTTACTATTTAAAGTTGATCATCTTAACAGACTTTCCTAAGGCTGGCAATAGAACCAGATCTGTTCGCCTTCTTTTTTTTTTTTTTTTTTTTTTTAATATTTATTTTTTAGTTCTCAGCGGACACAACATCTTTGTTGGTATGTGGTGCTGAGGATCGAACCCGGGCCGCACGCATGCCAGGCGAGCGCGCTACCGCTTGAGCCACATCCCCAGCCCCCCTGTTCGCCTTCTGTGTCACTTTTTTTCCTCTCTGTATTCCTGGAGTATAGTCTAGAGTAAAATCCGTTTTAAGCCTCTCTTACTGTTTTTTTTCCGTATTGGTGGTTTTCAGAATGACCAGTAGCATCAGCAGCATCTAGGAATTCATTGGAAATGCCAGTTCTTGGGTGCCTCATGAGACCTACAAACTAGGAAACTTTGGCCATGGGGCCTTAGCAATCTGTGTTTTAACAGACTATGTGATTCTGATAGATGCTTTAAGTGTGAAAACCAGTGACATGTAGAAATAACATTCCTCATCTCCCTTAAGTTATTCTTCCATTTTTTGCCAGGTCTCATTTCAATCTGGATTGGGACCAAGTACCTTTGTTATTACCTGGGATCACTGCAGGTGGTACAGGATTAGGATCTGTGGCTCCTAATTACAGGCCCTAATGACAGACTAATGACAGAGTCTCCTTATGGTGGATACAGGAACTGCAACACTGTGAGGTCCACAGCCATTTCATTCACACCAGCTATTAGACCTTGGAAGAGTAGAATTGAGAGTTGACAAAAAGGAGCTCCAATTAACAGCATTTGCTTCACTTAAATTAAAGTCCCTTGGRGCCACACTCTATAGAGTTGGGGCCATTGAAGTTTTTCTCGCCTTGTTTCTTTCTTTACTGGCTCTAGCTGCGTCTTACACAGATAGCTCTGATGATGAGGTTTCCCCCCGGGAGAAACAGCAAACCAACTCCAAGGGCAGCAGCAATTTCTGTGTGAAGAACATCAAGCAGGCAGAATTTGGACGCCGGGAGATTGAGATTGCAGAGCAAGGTAAAGGAAGGGAGTGGGTAGAGGTCAGAAGCAACCCTCTTCCTGGTCATCGGAATCCACAGACAACTTAAGGCTTAAAAGCTACCCTAAAATGTCTTGGGAAAAGACAGTTTCCTGGACTTTTGGGTAAACACTTCTCTATCTAAGGAGCTTGAGCCTCAGAATTCTTGATCTTGTTTTCCCTTCTTCCTAAACTCAGCATGTGGTTATTACAAACAGAGTAGTTTCTGTTTTCCTCCCCTGTGACACCATATTCCAAGATCTACAATGCAGAGTCAGCACAAGCTGGAGCACTACATACTGGTTAGTTATGTGGGATTTTACTGTCGCTGCCAATCCCAGAGACCCAGATTTCTCAGAAACAGCTGGTGTGGGAGGGTTCTAAGCTAAGGATATGGTGACCGAGGGTCTCATTTGGTCCTGAGCACCCTCTGCTGGAGCAGAGTAAAAGTGACTGACAATAGTCAAGTCTTGGTTCTTCTTCCTTGCCGCACTCCTGGGAAGGTCTCTTTACTCTTCCGTTGTTTTCATATTGAAGACAAGTTCTATATTGAGAATGGAGGAACCCAAACAGACTGACTGAACCCAAACAGGATAGGGTAGGATATCAAGTGGCTTCTGCTAAAGGTCAAGTCATTCTTCTGGGTCTGGTGATTGTCCATGTGCCAAACTATTTCTCTCTCCCAAATRACTGATGAGACTCACTCTCCATTTTAGTCAGTTTGGGGAATTTACTTAATTCTCTGTTCAGCCCTTTGGATATAAAGCAGAAGCAGCAGAGGAAGAGAGATATGCCATGACAACTCTCCACTGTTATTTTGCCAGAAAAGCTGTCAGTCATCAAGAAATATGCCTAGAGCTTTCCTGCCTTACCTCGCCATGTCTCAGCAGACCCAGACAGCCATGGATGTGGCTGAGCAGGAACGGATGGTACTGCTAGTGAAGCCCTAGCTCAAATCCTCTGTTCTTTCACAGACATGTCTGCTCTGATTTCACTCAGGAAACGTGCTCAGGGGGAGAAGCCCTTGGCTGGTGCTAAAATAGTAGGCTGTACACACATCACGGCCCAGACCGCGGTGAGTTTGTTAAAAGAAAATAGAGGGACTTTTCATAAGGGGAAGAAAGAAACAGATTTTTTCCTCCCCCAACTAACCAACCTCCAAATGCTATTAGATGGGACCTCCCTGTGAAACTATAATAGGATTTGTTACCTTCTTTTTGGATAAGTAAACCCATTTTTAATGCTAAAAATAAACCTAACTTAGGAAGATCTAAAATAGGATTGTTTTAAAATGCTATTAAGGCTTTTAGGTTGGGTTCAGGACCATGCGCCTGTAATCCCAGGAAACCTGGAGGCTAAGACAGGGATTGCAAGTTTAAGACTAATTAGCCTTAACAACTTCATGAGGCTATGTCTCAAAATAAAAAATAAAAAGGGCTGGGGTTGTAGTTCGTGGTAAAGCATCCCTAGATTCAATCCCCAATACCCCCCCAAAAAAAAAACAACAACTTAGGAACATGTCTTTTGAATATAGTTAAATCTCATGTGCCCTGCCACCCCTAGATAGACTACACCCTTTGCTAATTCTCCAGTGTAACACTTCTGTTGCTACAGAGTTATGGTATTGTGTTCTTACTGGTTTGCTCTCTCTGTCTGGGTAGCCCTTCTTCTTCACCCTATCTTCCTGTACATCCATACAGGTGTTGATTGAGACTCTTTGTGCTCTGGGGGCTCAGTGCCGCTGGTCTGCTTGCAACATCTACTCAACTCAGAATGAAGTTGCTGCAGCACTGGCTGAGGCTGGTAAGTTCAGCTTTTTCACCAGCTTTGCTTCAAATTAATTATCTAAACACAACTTTTTATATCAAAATTGTCATTACACTGTCATATGTCTAAGGACTCTAAAATTTGGGCAATAATAAAAACATCAGCAGCAAGAAAATGGATAATAAAGTCAAGGTTGATATGCATGATGGAATATTATATAGTCATTAAAAATGACATAAAGGGGCTGGGGTTATGTCTCAGAGGTAGAGCACTCGCCTAGCATATACGAGACACTGGGTTCCATCCTCAGCACCACATTAAAAAAATAAAATAAAAAGATATTGTATCCACCTATAACTAAAAAATAAATATTTTTTAAAAATGATAGCAAGAATCTAAGGATATTGAGGAAATGCCCAATTCTAATGCTAAATGAATGAGGAAGATTATTAAACTGTATGAGCTCAGCCAATCTCTTTTCATCAGAAGTCTCATCAATTTTAAGCAATACAAGTAAGTAGTACTTTTCATATTCATAGTTCATTAGATTACTTGGTATTCAGTATTGCACTGAAGCCAGGCACAATGATCTAGTCCTGTAATCCCAGCATCTCAAGAAACTGAGGCAGAAGGGTTCCAGGTTTGAGGCCAACCTCACAACTTAGTGAGACACCATCTCAAAAATTAAGACTGTTTCAATCCCAAGTTACCTACCGTTCCCCACAAAAGATTTTGCTATGAAAATATATGAACTACTGGTGAGCTTAAAAATAAACATTGAATAATTTTTATTGTTAAAATATTCAAAAGAAAATCATGAAGTTTCTTTGAGGATCTCTTTTGTTCCTAGGGTCTTCAGAATGTAACTTTATAACACTTTCGTTTTTCTTGTTTATTCTTGTCTGTTAAGTGTTTATTGGAGAAATTTAGGAAGTTCAAAAAAAATCCATAATCCTTTTTTACAGATGTTTGACTAATCTTTCTTTTCTTTTTCTTTATGTTTATGAAATAAATGTTAGTACGTATGCAGTTTTATAATCTAAATACAGCATTTTCAAAAGTAGTTTTGATATCACTAAACTTAACATCATGTATAATACTCTTTCATATGTTCATGTGATTTTTACCTCATTACTTTCTTAATAGTGAGCATTTAGGTTTTTTCAGAATGTTTACTAATATAAATAATGTTCCAAGGAACAACTTTGTATTAATTTCCACTTCATTTTGTTGTCTTAGAGTTCTAAGTTTAAAGAGAATAACATTCTATGATTCTAAATATATTTTTAAATCTCTTAATTTTTTTAATTTCTGAACTAAAATTACTATTTTGACTTTGACCTTTTACTCTATTTCCCTCTCCAGAATAGGTTCTCTTGCCTTTTTCTCTTCGTATAAATCTCAGAAATTGATGCTAGTATAGGTCACTCTCCAAAAGAAGAATTAGCTGATTTATGTCTGCCTCTGTAGGAGTTGCAGTGTTTGCTTGGAAGGGCGAGTCAGAAGATGACTTCTGGTGGTGTATTGACCGCTGTGTGAACATGGATGGGTGGCAGGCCAACATGGTAATAATGCATGTTTATCCCACACTTCTGACTATAGATTTATTTCCTTTTTTTCCCTCAAAAGCATGGTTCCCTAAACATGTTTTGGATGTTTGGTCTTATACACTGACTTTGTCACTAAAGTGTTTAGCTTGATACCTATTCACAATGGGTTTGAGAAGCACGAGGCCCTGGGTTCAATCCCCAGCACCAAAAAAAAAAAAAAAGAAGAAGAATGTGTCTGAGTACTGAATGGAAAGGTGGGGGAAGGGCAAGACTAGCTCAAACACATGGCTCAAACGTGGCAGAACGAAATTGAAGGAAGTGACATTGTCCCACTTTGTAGGATTCTGGTTCTTACCTTTCTGCCCCAGCTCTCCTTTTGTGTTCAAAGGGCTGTGTATTTCAAGACTCTGGACTAAAAATGAATCTGTGATTAGTCTAATACTCTTCACTGTAGCCTAGAACAAAGCTAAGGATCCTTTTAACCATTTTACACCAATAAATTGACTCTGTTTCCACTGTCTAAGCCTACTATATGGAGCTCTAAGACATGCTCTTCCAAAATATACAGGGCTCTCTTACTAGTGCAGAAAGTGGGCTCAAAGTTCCCCCTAGCTCTAGCAGCCTGAATGCCCATAGAAGTCTTCTGGCTGTTCTGTAGATCCTGGATGATGGGGGAGACTTAACCCACTGGGTTTATAAGAAGTATCCAAACGTGTTTAAGAAGATCCGAGGCATTGTGGAAGAGAGCGTGACTGGTGTTCACAGGTAACAGATTCTGGAGTAGCTGCCCCTTGTGTCCTTGCCTCAGCAAATTCTTCTGGTCTCTTGTTAGGCTTTAGGACTGTGTTTCAGACTTGAATTAACTAAATGGGATAAAACTGAATTTTCACTTTCAAAAAATCAAGGTGACCCTAGAAGGAAGATTTCCAGGTTCTATTTCAAACGTTTTTCTCTCCCATTTACTCCATTGAGTAATTCTCAAAATAATGTTTGGGGAAAGGGAGTAGGGGATGAATGTATCTTGAAAAACTGTAATCAATATTGTATTGCAATTTTATATATGAAATATGAAAATAAAAATCTGTAAAACTACATCTTATATACACAGCAAAAAGTAAAACTGCCAAATATTCTCAACTTGTTGGAAATACCTAAAAGAAGTGTTTCTCTGTTGGGGGCACATTGTACATCCTTGCTCTCTCTCACTCTCGCTCTCTTTCTCATATACATACACACACAGGAAACCGTATCAGAATCGTTATAATCTTTATTTATCAAAAATAGGCATGGAAAAATGTTGATTTAAGGATATAATGTCCCCTTTATGGAAGAGAAGTAAATTTATTCAACGGAAAGCTTTTAATTTAATTTTCCTTCCAAAACTAATGGGTGGAGAGAGAAGAAAATTAAATAAGTGGGGAGAAATGACAAGGAAATAATTATGTTTATTCATATTCTTGGGCAATAAATAAGACTGGGGAGGGTACCATGGAACTTGAACAGAATTAGGCAGATTTTGCCATTTGTTATGTTTTACCAGCTAACTTGGTTTTTGTTTGTTTTTGTGGCCTCTTCTCCCTTTAGGCTATATCAGCTCTCCAAAGCTGGGAAGCTCTGTGTTCCTGCCATGAATGTCAACGATTCTGTTACTAAACAGAAGTTTGATAACTTGTACTGCTGCCGAGAGTCCATTTTGGATGGGTAGGTTGAAATATATACATGTCACACTTAAAGGGGATAGATCTGGATTGGGTTGTAATGTTAGTCTGGTGTTATTGCAGTCTTGTCCCCTGGTCTTCCTTTGCCTTTAAGAGTTTGTTAGAGGGGCTCATTTCATATGAGCTCAGCCAACTTCCAATTGAAATTCTCCTGGGCATTGCCCCACACTTAACTTTGTGCAGAGGGACTGAGTTGAGCCCTTGTCTGTTTCCACAGCCTGAAGAGGACCACAGATGTGATGTTTGGTGGGAAACAAGTGGTGGTGTGTGGCTATGGTGAGGTAAATAGCTGGGCCTCAGTGTCTCTGTCTTTTCATAGACTTACTAGAAATAGCAGGTAAAGGAGACTTGTGCTGTCAGTCCGGAGTCACTGATGCAGGGGTCAGATGTGTTTGATGTATATCAAAGCATTAACAAAAGTCCTGTATTCAGATTCGTGAATAGACATACAGAATGAGTTGAGTTTTCAGATTTCACCAATTTGTCTTATGAAATTTCATTATCATCCCCCCATAATAATAATAACCTCTTATGAGATGGCCCCACAGGTGACTTGCAGTACAATGAAAGGTGAAATCTGAARTGGCATATAATTGACAATCTGTATACTAGAATAGGTTGCAGGAGATTTTATTGTCTTCAGCAGTGACACATAGAAGTTCCTGAGCTGCTAGGCTGTCCTCGAAATGACACATTGCAAGCAAGAGTTATCAGAATTTTTTGTTTGTATTTTTGTTTTGTTTTTGTTTATCACAGTGGTAGGCCTCTGCATGCTAGGCAAATGTTTTACTGCTGAGCAGCATCTCCACCCAGCCCATATCAGGTTTTTCTGGAATACAAAAATAAGAGGTTTCAGGGCTAGGTATGTTGCTCAGTGGTAGMGTGCTCCCYAGCATGCAGGAAGCCCTGAGTTCAATCTCCAACACCACAAAAAGAAAAAGAAAAAAAAAAATTAGAAGTTGCAGTTGCTCTTGCTTGGTCTTGTTTCCCTAATAGTAACAGTTATCCTAAGCCCCTCACCCTTGCTGTGACATGTCTGCTAATTATGTCTTTAACTGAAGTTCACAATATGATCTTGTCTGTTTCTGCTCTGCTTGAGGTTGGAGCCTCCCTACAAGTGCTCACTAGATGATTGGTGATTTCAGGAAGGTTAATTTCTATCTCCCAAAGACCCTGCCTGCCCCATTGTCTCTGCCTTAATGTACCTGGCAACCTGGCTCTTCTTGTGTTCTGCAGGTTGGAAAGGGCTGCTGTGCTGCCCTCAAGGCCCTTGGTGCCATCGTCTACATCACAGAAATTGACCCCATCTGTGCTCTGCAGGCCTGGTAAGAACAGAGTGATGGTGATCCATTAGATTCATCTGGGTACATCACATTTCTTAAGAGTTCATGATTGATTATATTAATCGTCTTTTGCAGAAATTTTCCAGGGGGAGGAGAAGACTAGGATTTCTCTGTTCCCTTCATTATAATCCTGGGGCTGTCCTAGAGCCTCTTGGCCTTTCCGTTCCTGGATGTGGCTCTGAAGAGGCCAGTGTGTGTAGTTTAGCACAGCTTATCACCTGCCATCCCTGCAGAGGGGGATTTTGTGACCAGCTTCCCTCCCACTGCCTCCTTGATTTGCTCATAGTGTTTCTTCTTTTTTTCCAGCATGGATGGGTTCAGGGTGGTGAAGTTAAATGAAGTCATCCGGCAAGTTGATGTTGTAATAACTTGCACAGGTACGTATCAGTGCTTTGGTACTCATGGAGGAGTGTTCACTCCAAGGCTAAATCTTGAAAGTAACCTGACTGGCATTCAGAAACAGTCAGTGAGACCGGTGCTCAGTATGGTGTCTCAGAACTAGAGGAAGTTATCAGAACAGTAATTTGTGTTTTCCAGAGGAAGGAGCCTTTTTCCCCTGATACCTTTCCATACCACTTGATTTTAACCAAATTATTATGTTGAAGGAGCTGCTGTACACTTTCCTCATAACACATACAAGCACTTTAATGYCAGCAAACCTCCTCTGTCTCCCTTGTTCTGACTGAAAACCAGTCAGTGCCTTTGTGGCCTAACATCTCYTCTCTCAGCCACCCATCTTTGCTTTCAGGAAATAAGAATGTAGTGACACGGGAACACTTGGACCGCATGAAAAATAGTTGCATTGTTTGCAACATGGGCCACTCCAACACAGAAATCGACGTGGTRAGGCTTCTCTCAGTTGTTGCTGGGGCTTTCTTCTGTTTTCTGTTGCAGCCACAATCAGCTGTGCCTTCTTCCTTTCAGACCAGCCTCCGAACTCCGGAACTGACATGGGAGCGAGTACGTTCTCAGGTGGACCATGTCATCTGGCCAGATGGCAAACGAGTCGTTCTCCTGGCAGAGGTACATACAGAAGACTGATAGACGAGTAGTCCTTTTAGATCTATAGGATGAAGGAGGTAGGGAAAAAATGTTTGACCTGTGTTTCCCTGAATTCTGTCTTTGTTTCTCAAATGGTCTAGTCCATCAAAATAGAGGCACTCCAGGTACATCTAATTTAGCCTAAGTAACAATTTCTTGACCATAGCTAATTTTCAACCTTTCACACTCAGGTGGATTTGCAGAAAATAGGATAAAACCCAGAGTCCTGATCTGGAACTGTAATTATTCTTCTACCAGCTGAGTTGGGAGGGGTATAAAGTCCTTTCCTACATTTGCTTAACTTGTATAGCAAGGAGATCTGAAAGGGGCAATAGCTCATCCCAGGACTCTCTTACCTCTCCAGGGTCGTCTGCTCAATCTGAGCTGCTCCACAGTTCCCACCTTTGTTCTGTCCATCACAGCCACCACACAGGTATGTGGAAAATGCCCACTTTTCCTGCACTGAGACTTATGGAATCAGGGGAAGTTTGCTGTGCTCTGCCCTGTTCTCCCCCCACCCCCCACGTCATACATTGTGGAGACTTCAACTTTCTCAAGTATAGAAAAGAGTCATTAGGGGTTGGGGGTGTAGTTCGGTGGTAGAACACTTGCCTAGCATGTGTGAGGCACTGGGTTTGATCCTCACCACCACATAAAAGTAAATAAAATAAAGGTATTTGAAAAAAATTAAAAGAGTCATTAGTCAGTTTGTGTCTCTGTATCGTCTGGTCAGTTGAGAATAGTATTCCAGCTTAGTTGTAATTAGTGTGTTCTTTTGTCAAGTACTAAATGAAAACACCAACAAATCCTCTTATGATGTGTATGGGCCTTTATTCCAGGCAGAGTCCTAAGTGCTATCATGATGACAGATCATTATGGTGATTCTAAGGTTCTGTTAATCATAGTTTTATTTTTAGATCCCGTTCTAAAGTGTTTTTGTTTTCTGGTCCTCTTTTCCCACCTTAGGCTTTGGCGCTGATAGAACTCTATAATGCACCTGAGGGACGATACAAACAGGATGTATACTTGCTTCCTAAGAAAATGGGTGAGTGAAAAACAGTGAAACCGATACCGACCCCTAGATAGCTTCATGGTTTGGTAAAATGACTATCATGAAGAGCACTAGATTTAGAGTCAAAAGTTCTGATTCCTCTCTAGTGCTTACTGGTTGTTTGACATCAGGACAGGTTCTAATCCCCATGAGCCTCCATTTCTTGACCAGTAAAGTGAGAATAATAGTGATTATAGATTTGTAGAATTGCAGAATTGTAGTAAGAGCTCCAGCTAATGAGTATATCAGCAGTTAGCACATCAGTTTAAGGTAATGCTCTTGTTCTCAAGTAGCCTTATGAGTTCAGTAAATGTCCCAGTGCAACTGAGTATAACCTAGAACCAAAATGAGAGAAACAGAAACAGGTTTTAGGGTCCATTTTCTGTCTTGGTTTGAAAATCGCCTTCTATCCAACCTCCTGTCATTCCAGAGGACAACCTGTGCTTAGTTCATGTGACATAATATATCTCAAATCCTTTGGCTTTCTGCACAGTGGAGCCCACCTCCCATCACTTAATGGCTAGCCCCAAATACATGGCTTAAAGCTAAAAAATTTCTTGCTCTGGTCCCCTCYAATAGCTTATCTCAGATTGGTTTTTCAAAAATTCAGGTTCATAAAAGTCAGAGAAGCTTTTCCATGGAAACGTAGTAAATTATCTTAGAAATCCATGATCCTAAGATTTGAGGCCTTTATGGATCTTTTCCTAAGTGAATGTTAATGACACAAGATTCTTTTGGAGTCTACTTTGATTTGTAATTTTGACTAGAACTTGATCCAGGAAGGTGGGAGTAGTATGGAATGTGTGGCTGCTGAGATGAAGCCAAATCTTTTACCAGAGAAGGATAGAAAGATAGAGGTTGACCCATTTTGTCCTAGTAAGTGGTTTTCTAAATGCATTTTGGAGAGACCGAGAAGTACCCTGCCACAATGAAGCAAATGTTTCAAGATTCTTTCAAAGTTACTCTGGTGCTGTCCTCTTCCTCAAAAAGCTTCAAATGAAAGCAGAGAAGGGGTATGCCCTGAGAGACATATTTGACAAGAAAACTGCCCCCTGCCACTTTGCTCTTCCTAGATGAGTACGTTGCCAGCTTGCACCTGCCGTCATTTGATGCCCACCTGACAGAACTGACAGATGACCAAGCAAAATATCTGGGACTCAACAAAAATGGGCCATTCAAACCTAATTATTACAGGTAACTCAGGGGAAAGCAATGAAAAGCTCTTCTCCCTGATATTAAACCAACCAGCCCAGCCAGCTTTCTCTAGTAAAGATGAGGTACCATACCTGATTTTGAAAAGTATAAGAGCCCTGCTCCAAATTAACAAAGTTGGGGCTGGGGAATGTAGCTCAGTGGTAGAATACTTGTCTAGCATGCCTGAGGCCTTGGGGATTTTGGTTCCAAGCCCAGAACTAAGGGGTGGAGTGGTGTGTAAAATAAACAGGGTTAGCAGAGAAAGTATGTGGAAAAACAGGGGCAGATGATGGCCTGGGTATTGTCTGTGGAGATACCCACCCTGCTCAGGGAGAGACTTGGGAAAAGTTGTTCCATTTCATATTCTTCTTGAAACTCTCATATGGAGCCAGGCATGGTGGCACATGGCCTGCTATCCCAGCAACTCAAGAAGCTGAGGCAGGAGGATCGCAAGTTGAAGGCCAGCCTGGTCTACTTAGCGAGACCCTGTCTCAAAATAAAATTTAAAAAGGAGTAGGCATGTAGTTCAATGGTAAAATGCAAGGGAGACCCTGATTTCAATCCCTAGTACCAGTGGAAGAAAGAAACTCTAAGATTTGAGGCCTTTATGGATATTTTCTTAAATGAATGTTAATGACACAAGACTCTTTTGGAGTCCACTTTGATTTGTAATTTTGACTAGAACTTGATTTATGGAAGAACTTGATATATGGAAGACATGAATATTAACCAGTCAATCTCTTTCTTTACAGATACTAATGGACCATATTACCGATGACCAGTCCACATGAACCACACAATTCTAAAAGAAATATTTTTTAAAATAACTTTTATTTTCTTTTATTTCTTTCCTCTCAATAATTTTTTTTTTCTATAATTTCATTCTTGTTTTCTCATGTCATTATCCAAGTTCTGCAGAACATACAAGGACTTGCTTTCTTCATGGCTCTTTAGATGAAACTGAGGTTCAAGGTTCCTCACCCTAGTCACTAAAGAAGGATTTTGCTCTCCCCACCCAGAAAGGTGATTCTTTCTTTACCGTTTCTGGGGACTTTAGTCTTAATTGGGTACTTTATTAATAGGAATTGCTAAGGTACCTTTTATGTGGATAATATCTGCAATGTCTAAATTGCCTTAAAAGAGCCCATTTCTTGGCTGCTGAAATCAGTGCTCTTTCACTTCCTCAGAGGAGCAGGGATGGTACCTACCAGCCAGGTAGGTTAGATGTAGGTGGTGCATGTTAATTTCCCTTAGAAATTCCAAGCCCTGTTTCCTGTGTAAAGGTGGGATGTCTGGTTCAAAGATGTGTGCTAGTGAGTGTTGCTTATTAAGATCTAGTAGGCCCCCTTGAATTTATAGTACAGCCCTTCCTCCATTCCCACCAGCCTCTCTCATTTTTCTGGTTCTTAAACTGCATTCTACCAAATTGAATTTTGTCCTCTAGCATTTCTTTCTTTCTTTCTTTCTTTTTTTAATAACACAGTTTTTAGTATTGACACTGAGGAACTACTTGGGTGGTTAGTTTTTAACTAACTTCTTTTGAACCTTTGGAGCTAAGAGTGCAGAGTTGAGTCTAGAAAAAAGCTAATCTCAAACTCTGATGAGTCCCTCTGTTTCTAGTCCCTAGTTTATAGCATCAGTGAACTGGAGCCATAAGCAGATTTTCTCAGCTCTGCCCCATACAGCTTATGCTGAAGGCCAATTTCTTGAGCCATTACTCTGTATAAAGCACTGAGCTCTATCCTTAGGGTTTATCCTTTAAGAGCAAATTTCTGGTTAGCTGTGCTTCTGCAACCTAAAATAGTTAAAGGGAGTAGGTATGGATGGATGGAAGAATGATAAATTGGGCCAAGGTAAAAGAAATCTTACTCTATATAATTTGTCTGAAACTATAAGCCCTGTATAATGTTAGTTTCACAGAAGTGGTACCATTTCTGTTTGACACCATGCCACAAAAAGTTTATGAGCTAAGATCTTAAAGGGCAGATTGTGATCAGTACATCCTGACTCATACTCTGAAAGAATCCCAGAGAGGCTCCCTCAAAGATCAAGAGAGATGTATTCCCATGCCATGCACCCTGCTTACCAGCATTTCTGCATGGTTAAATGGGCTTTATGCTCATAGGCTTTAAGCATATAATTATCCAGGATTTTAAATCCTTAACTTGTTCTAGCTTGTGATCCTTTAAAGTTGGATCATACATTAGTGCTAGATACTAGAAATTTCACTTCTCTGTTTCCAGTGATCAGAGAAATAGACATTAAAAACAGGAATATAAGAAAGTTTTTACCCTGCAGCTTCCTAGCAGGAGACAATTATCTTGCCAAAATTTTTCCCCCTCTTTTCCCATTTCTCCCCCACCCAGTCCCTTCCTACTCCTTGCCAGTGTGACCGTGCTTTCTTCTCTGTAGATGCTAACAGTTGAAGCCCTTTTTCCTAGGGCTCGTAACCAGCCAATCAGAACACCATATCCATTAGGGGACATAACCTGGCCAACAGTGTATCCATTGGGTCAGCTCTGCTGGAGGGAGGCGGCTCAGGTCCTGCTGCCCTCTGGTGGGCCCTCTGATCCTATAGCTATTATGTGTCCATAGRAATAATAGGTAAGGGCTCCGTCTCTGTCAAGCCATGTAACAAAGGACACTGTGGAAAATGTCTGGCATCAGAGGGAGCGTGTGGAGAGCAACTTGGGAGGAAAAAGTTCATTTTGTATTGAATGATTTTTAATGAATGCAATATTAATCCTTGCAGATGAGCAATAATCATTAAAGTCAATTAAAATGATTATTAGTAGTCTGTGTTATTCTTGGTTAAACAGCAAAACGGTTTTCTAGAATGGAACAACAACTCATTTTTTTGTACCGGATTGAACTCAGGGGCACCTGACCACTGAGCCACGTCCCCAGCCCTATTTTGTATTTTGTTTAGAGACAAGGTCTTGCTGAATTGCTTAGCGCCTCGCTTTTGCTGAGGCTGGCTTTGAATTTGCAATCCTCTTGCCTCAGCCTCCCAAGCCGCTGGGATTATAGTCATTCACCACCGTGCCCACTCTATTATATCTTAAGATATATCTAGCAGGAGACAATTATCTTGCCAAAATTTTTTCCTCTTCCTTTTCCATTTCTCCCCCACCCAGTCCCTTCCTACTCCTTGCCAGTGTGACCATGCTTTTCTTCTCTGTAGATGCTAACAGTTGAAGCCCTTGTTCCTAGGGCTSGTAACCAGCCAATCAGAACACCATATCCATTAGGGGTCATAACCTGGCCAACAGTGTATCCATTGGGTTGGCTCTGATGGAGGGAGGTGGCCCAGGTCCTGCTATAGTTTAGATGGTGAATGTCCCCTAAAGGTCCAYATATTAAAAGTTAGTTCCCTAGGGTGACAATATTGGGAGGTGTGGTACAGACTTTGGGGCATAGTAGGTGGGTCACTGGAGGTGTGCCCGAGAAGGAGATTATGGAACCTTGGCTCCTTTCTCCTTTTTGCTCCCTGGCTGATGAGATGAGCAGTTTTGCTATACCATGCATTCCCATCGTGATGTGCTTATTGCCTGACCAAAGGCCCAAAGCAGGCCAATTGATCATGGACTGAAACCTCCTCCAAAACTGAGCCAAAATAAACCTTTTCTCTGTGTAAGTTAATCATCTCAGGTATTTTATTATAGTAATGGGAAACTTACTAATACCTTAGTTTTATATGCCTGCTCTATCCCAAGCATCAGGCCTAGGCACTTTTTCTCTTTAAAGAAACAAATTGCTATGTAAACTTCAGAGATCCTCATTTGCATAGTCACCTTCTGAGACCTTATACCTTAATCTTTTTCTATAAAGGATGCCCCCAAAGTATAAGCTTCAACCTCCTCCCAAACCTATTTCAATCTCTGAAGTTGCATTGGTGCCTCTTGATACAACAAAGTATGTGTCTTAGTTTGTTCTTGCTGCCACTTAAAAAAAATCAAACTCGGTATTCTATAAAGTAACCAAAATTTCATTTTTGCACTGCTCTGGAGATGGAAGTCCAAAGTTAAGACAACAGTAGATTTGGTGTCTGGAGCAGTCTGCTCTCTGCTTCTAAGATAGCACCTCTTTTTACATCTTCATAGAGTAGAAGGCCAAACAGAGCCTAGTGAGTTCCCTCTAATTCTATTATAAAGACAGAAGTTCATCCCATTGGTGAAGGCTCTTTTCTTCGAATTTAATCACTTAAAGTCTCYACCTCTTAGTACTATAATTGGTGATTAAGTTTCAATTGATGAATTTAGGGGAATACATTGAGGCCATAGCATTCTACCCGAGCTCCCAATATGTATGTCCTTATATATGAAAAAAAAAATTGTTACATCCCAGCTCCTGTAGTCTTACCTCACAGCACCAACTCAGAAGTCTAAAGCCCAGGATCTCATTTAAATCAGACATGGATCATGCTCAAGGTTAGATTCATCCTGAGATCAATTGCTGTCCAACTGTAAATCTGAAATTAAACAAGTTAATGGATTTCCAAAACACAATGATCAACAGGTATAGGATAGACATTTTTGTTCTGTAAAGGGAAAATCGGGAAGAAACAGGGAGTTACAGATGAAACCCAACAAAGTAAACATTAAATCTTAAGGCCCCAGAATGATCGTTGACTGCATGTTCCACCTTCCAGATACATTGAGATGGAAGTTTGTCCCTCAAAGCTTTGAGGAGGGGGTGGTGCAACATGGTGTATCCCTTCCTGAGTGCTCCTGGCAGTGGGTACTAAATAAACCTTTACCTGCCAAATAACTTAGGAATTAAGGAAACTCAGAAATTCATAGTTTTAAAAGAATGTAAAATAAGACCAGTACTCCCTGCTAATGGGTTATGAAACTCAGGGTAGGAGCAGGAATCTGCAACTATAGCCCTCTCAGGAGCCGCATGTGGCCCACTACCTGTTTCTGTGTGGCTCACAGACTAAGAATGTTCTTTTACAAATTTTTAATGATTAGGAAAAATCATGACTGATAGTTTGTGACACATGAAAACTACATGAATTTCCAATTTTTTTGCCCATAAATGGAGGTTGTTTTTTTTTTTTTTTAAGAGAATTTTTTAATGTTTATTTTCGGCAGACACAACATCTTTGTTTGTATGTGGTGCTGAGGATCGAACCCTGGCCACACTACTGCTTGAGCCACATCCCCAGCCCCTAAAAATGGAGGTTTTGTACACAGCCACACTCATTCATTTATGTAATGTCTGGCTAATTTTATGCCACRATGGAATTGAATAGTTGCAACCAAATGCCCCACAAAACCTGAAGTATTTACTATCTGGCCTTTAACAGAAAAGGTTTGCTGATCCCAGGCACAAAGGTTGTGTTAGAAAGGAAAAGATGCATTGGAAGGCATTTAATTTGCATTCCATTAGGCAGGAAGAAGGAGTTTCTAGATCAGAGTAGAAACTGACAGAATGAAAGCATTAGAAGGAATGGTTATTTGTTATATTTTGGAATCTTAAATGTCCCAAAAGCTCATGTATTGGTCCTTGGTCTTTGGTCCTTGGTCCTTGGTTCTTGGTCCTTGGTCTTTGGCTGATGTGCTATTGGGAGGTGGTGGAAATTAGGAGATGGGGCCAAGTTGGAAGAAGTTAGATCATTATGGGTGTGCCCCTTCCCTTCGAGGCTTCCTGGACACTATAAAGTAAGCTGCCTTTTCTGCCACATACTCCTGCCACCATATTTCCTTGCCATAGGCCCAGAGACAATAAAGGCAAGCAAACTTTTAAACCATGAGCCGAAATAAATCTTTCCTCCTTTTAAGTTGTTTATCTCAGGCATTTTGTCACAGCAGCAGAAAGCTGACTAACATAATATTAAGTTAAAAATATTCTGATCTGAATAGTAGATGCTAAATCTACCTGTAACCCGGCCAAGATTCACTCTGAGATTAAAGGATCACAGAGAACAACATAAAAATTACTCAGGAAGGTAAATTTTTATTTCAACTTAGAATGTGTAGAGAGTAATTAATTTAAACTTGCAATTTACATTGCAGTTAATAGTTTGGAATGGAATGCAAATTAAATGCCTTCCAACACATCTTTTTCTTTTTACATACAGGATTAGAAATTTATATAAAGAATAGGAAATTTTTAAAATAGTCTTGGGGCTGGGGTTGTGGCTCAGCAGTAGAGTACTCACCTAGCACATTCAAGGCACTGGATTCGATCCTCAGCACCGCATGACAATAAATAAAATAAAGGCATTGTGTCCAACTGCAACTAAAAAAATATTTAAAATAAATAAAAATAGTCTTGCTTGTGTTTTGTTTGCTATTTAAGTGCTCTAAAAGGAAAATTGAACATATTAAGTGTATAAATGCATTTGAAAAAGTTTAAAAAACTTCAAGTTCATAAATAGCCTATTCACAGTCCCTTTTAAAGTGATTAATATTTGCTAGGAATATAAATACAATAAGATCTATATAAGCAGAACTTTTAAAAGCTTAAGCAGGGCTGGAGATGTGGCTCAGCGGTAGCGCGCTCGCCTGGCATGCRTGCGGCCCGGGTTCGATCCTCAGCACCACATACCAACAAAGATGTTGTGTCCGCCGAGAACTAAAAAATAAATATTAAAAAAAAAAAAAAAAAGAAAGAAATACCACAACCCGTTACCTGAAACCTCAGTGTTGAGAATTTTCAGGTGTTAGAAAATATCTTAATATAAAGAAAATTTTCTATTATCTATGGGGTAGAGCAGCATTCTTTACATGATTAAACATGTTGATGGTTTTGCATTTATGAATATTTACAGGATAAGAGACAATAAAAACTATTGATAGTTTCCCATCAGTTCAAATCAGGATTTGTTGTCAAATTAACTTGTGTCACTCGTATGGAGGAAAAACTTGATTTTTACAAATTTTTTGAATTTTGAAGTTGTGAGTAAAGGATTGTAGCTCTGGAATAATAATAGTAACACATATTTAGTGTTTGCTGTATATCTGGCCCCATGCTTAATACTTAACACAATTAACAGACCTGATGCTCACACTAACCTACGAGATAGGTACTATTATTACCCCCATTTTACAGATGGGGAATTTGAGGCAGTAAGAAGTAGCTTGCCCAAGGCTATCTAACCAGTAAGTTGAAAGAACTGGAATTACCCTAAGACTGGTTCAGTGATCCATGCTTGACACTAGGCAATATGGCCTCTAGGAAACAGCACAAAACCAGGGTTCTAGTGATGCCCAAAGAAGGCAATGCATGAGTCACACACATGTGGAGCTTGTTAAAAATAAAAGATAAGTAAAAGGGCTGAGGTGTAGCTCAGTAGGAGGGCACTTGCCTAACATGTGTAAGACCCTGGGTTTGATCCTCAGCACCACAAAAAAATAAAATTCCTGGAGCCTATCCCAGACCTACTGAAACACACTCAGGACCATGAGGAAACAAGGACTGAGGGAGTCAGTATCTTTCCAGGATAGTCAGTATAATTGAGCTAGGATTTAGCCCCCATCTTTCTGGCTCCCGTGGCCTTTCTCCTGAGTCATTCTTGAGGGTTCCAAAGGGTGGTACTTGCCCCTTGGTTCTCATTTCCCAGCAAAGATTTTCTAAGCAGAAGAAACTTGGCTGTGGGCAAAGTCCCTAAACAGCAACTGCTATGCCTTTTCTGAATGCAAACCCAGACAACCTTGGGGAACCTGCCCTCTTCCACTGCACCAAGTTCTGCTTCTCCAAGCCAAGGCCAAACTAGATCAAATATACCACACTTGGGGCCCCAAAGACTCCTCCAAGAGCATCTGGGCCCTGAAACTCT